GCTGAGGTTTATCTGATGGAGACACAGAGAGGACAGGCTGAGGTTTATCTGATGGAGACACAGAGAGGACAGGCTGAGGTTTATCTGATGGAGACACAGAGAGGACAGGCTGAGGATTATCTGATGGAGACACAGAGAGGACAGGCTGAGGTTTAGCTGATGGAGACACAGATGGTCAGAGACAGTCATGATCTATCATAGTTTCTTCTATTTTATCCTTATCCTTCGTTTGACTGATGCAAAGTTCATTACCTTCATATTTAGGAGAGGTGGGAGATTTTGCTGATTGATTCAACATTTTAGACTTAGATTTTCATTTAGGATCATTTTATAGGGATGTTTATTCATAAACATTAAAGCCCAATAAACACACAATCTACTATAGTAGTAGTAAAGTCACTTATTTTTTCTAAACACAACTTTTAGAGGTTTCACAATATCTAAAGTAACAAAATAACAACACACAACCAGGACTCAGAGTAAAGATGAACAATCCTAAAACAATCTAATATTATTTTAAATGGCTTTTGGTTCCAATTGAGCAGTACTATCAGACAGGTTTTAATAAAAGTTTAATGTTCTAATCTTATTATTTTTCTAGCTGCTCTTATTGTATTGTTTTATTGTATATATCTTTTATTGCCTGTTTTATGTTTTTATTTATTTTATTTCAAGCAAAATTTATGAATTGTTTTATATAATGTTGATTAACTGAATAAACCTTCATTCCAAGTTATCTCCTAAGCTCCTGCACATAGAATGTTATTAACATTTTGAAACATTGGCTTTTTAAGTTAAATTATATTGACATTCGATATACAGTTTATCTTAACTAAACCGTCTAGAAATGTTTTTTATCAAAACCTTGTCATAGTCAATTTCATGAGTAATTACTCATCTTGTAATACTTTGGGGTCTTTGGTGAAAAAGTCCCAAAATTCCGGGTTTTGTCTCTAATTAGCAAGAATTATATAAATCATAATATTTCTAAGTCATCAGAAATTAGAATTTGAGGAGAATTACAAATTTGTGATATCAGAGCAGCGTCACTGATTACTATGGAGACTATGGATGAAAGGCAGGGTAAACCCTGGACAGGTCACCTGTCCGTCGCAGGGCAACACAGGGACAGACACTCACACCTAAGGACAATTTAGAGACGCCAATTAACCTAACAGTCATATTGTTGGACTGTGGGAGCCAAGCGCGTAGGCTTGATCTCAACCTTGCTAGGGACACTATTGGTCTTAAGTTGAATTGGTCTGATTTCATTGATTCTACGCATTATGCTTGCTCCTATTTTATTCAATGCTTGACGTACTGTAAGCATCAGGGCAAATTTCTTTAAAGAGAAAACTCTATTTTTTACTACATTTGTACAAATTTTGTAAGCACTACACACACAAGATGCTGTTTATCAATGTTTGAAGCACCAGTGGCTCAGAATAATGTAAAATCAGGACAACTTAACACTTTGAAAAGGGTTACATTGGAACTTACCAGTGAAGGTAAATACATCCCTTTTTAACCACATATAGTTTAAATATGTGTCTCGTATGTGTATTTTTATTATCCTGTGTTTTCTTTTGAGGAAATAGAATTGTGCAGAGGTAAACAGAGGTAAAACCCATTCTTATTATTTTTATCTGATAAGCTGATATTCTCTGTATTGTAAAACAAAGCAAAGTAACATATTCAAGGGACTGCAAATAGATAAGTATTTACATGGGCGCAGGAACTATAAAAGGAACTGACACTGAGCATTTAAAATATTAACTTTAATATAAAAGTTGTAAGAAAAGAAGCGACTGCTGCAACAACACTGTATTGTAAACTATAAACATGTTATTTAAATAGAATTATTGAAAGGGAAGAGTAGGTCGGGCCAAAATTTTGGTAGGGACATTTCCCTATGGTTTCTATGCAAACCTACGCCCATGGTGGGAGAAAGCTGGAGTACCCAGAGAGAACCCACAAAAGCACAGGGAGAACAAGCAAACATGCAGAAAGACCCTAGGCCAGGAATTGAACCCAGGACCTTCTTTCTTCAAGGCATCAGTTCTACACACTGCATCAGTTTAGATCAAATTACCGACTGACACAGAACTGATGTCAAATTAGACTGCCAGGAAAACTCAGAATAGTTTTTATCCGAGTTTAATACATTTTCTTTAAACATTTTGAAGGAAAAAATGTGACGTATTTTCATTTTCAATTAAGAGAAATTTTTAAAAGAATAGAAAACATATTAAAATTGTACAGACGCAGTGGGCCTCATTATTCTAGGCTTACAGAATATGATTTGACATTAACTTTATGTCTCTGACTCCCAAGTTATCAAAATTACTAGTCATCAGAGAGTAGCTGCCCAGGGTGGAGCTGCTGTTTCTCTGGGAGAAGTCATAATATCTAGGAAACCAACACTAACAAATCAGATCCAGTAACCCCAGTTAAACCTGAAGAGGGCGCCATACAGATAGTTTTAGACACAAAAGCAGGTTTGCAAGAAATGTGAAGTGAATTGTAGGGTTGGGAATTGATTCTGATTCTGATTCCCTTATCGATTCTGTGAAACGATTCAATTCCTTATTGATTCTCTTATCGATTCTGTGAAACAATGAACTTGGTAAGTGTACGGTGACATTCATCTACCTTCGCCTGAAACATTCTATTTCTGCCTGCCTCGGTGAAAATGGCAGTGAACGGGAGCTGCCAGCCTCTGAGCCAGCCAGGCTACCCGTCTCCTCACAGTCATCTAAATCTAATGGAGAAGGCATCTGTTTAATGAAAAGGCATTACTGTACAATTTCGGGAAATAAACTCATCTCCCCCCGATTTAAATAAATGAATGTCACCTTTCTCTCACTCCCTGAACTGCGGAGCAACTGTGTAGCATGTTTAATAACCCCAAAGAGAGGTAGGAAACTGGTCTATTTCCAGAAATGGGATATGATTTACTAGGAGCCACATTAAGCACAGCCATTGATATAAAACTAGCTACTTACCACCAGAGTTTCCTTCCATGCTGGTCGTAACTTTAGCTTCTGTCAGGAAGCACCAAAAACACAGCATTCGTCAAATTGTATGCCATGTTGTGTGCGCAGGTGTTTCTGCATGTTGGATGTATTTCCTCCAGCGGATGTAATTGCCACTTTGCAATGATTGCAAAGCGACTTGTTGCCATCTTTCTCCTTTTCTAGACGTACGCCTGGTCACGCCGTACTTGCTCACTGAATGCTGTGTGCGTAACTTACGTAAAAAACGTGACTTAAGTCGTGCTGTCAAACACTAGGCTCTGCTGCTCCCTGGAACTGTTAAGAGAATCATTGAGCGAGCTGCCAAATGGTGCCTTGGAACCGGTTCTAAAGAGGAACTGGTTTTTGATTCCAATCCCTACATTATCCCTTACCTGTTCAGTGCATTTTAGAGTTCATTCTAAAATTCTTATTTTTATTTTAAAATGTTTAAATGACCTTCCCATTCAGTAGCTCTCTGAGTTTCTTCATCCCTACCATCCTTTTCCGCCCCTCAGGTCAGCTGAACAGCAGCTCCTGCAGGAACCAAGGTCTAAGAGGACGATCAGAGCAAAGCCTCTATAGCTGCTTCTCATTTAGGAATAAACTACTCCTGCACATTGAGAGGCTCCTTTACTGCCTACTTTTATAACTTGTTTAACTTTTAAATTGTTATATTTATTTTTTTGTTTTTTACCAATAGTAACACTAACTTTGATTTTGTTTGTTTTAATGTTTTTATTCTTCTTTATAATCATTCCTAAACCTTATTTACAGATCTTTGTTCCTTTAAAGTTTGCAGTGATGATCAGGACTTTGTTTCAGCTGTTGCTGTTTTATTCTGGTCTGATATTTATTATTTGTTTAAACTTCATCTAAAATTTCATTGAAACTATTGCAGTAACATTCATTTGTTACACATAAAACATGTTTTTGAGCTTAGAAGCAAATCCTGCTTTTAAAGTAAGAACTTAATATAAATGAGATGAGCAACGATTGTCATGTTTTATTAATAATTAGCTTATTTTCACCTATAGAAGAGTCTAAAGGAAAATATGTTACTTCTATACTAAATATGTTAATATCCCCAAGAAAATTCACACATGGGGGAAAGAGAAAAAAAAAAAACTCACCTGACACATTTAACCTAAGGACTCCCCACTCTGTTATTGTAAAGACATCTGTTCTTCCTCTGCATTCATATTCTCCTCTGTCAGCTGCAGTGATCCTGTATTCACTGGATGTTGGAGAGTTACTGCTGGTTGGTCTCCATTCATACGTCCACTGAGCTCCTCCACCTCCATGGATCTCACATCTCAGAGTGACTTTCTCTCCTCTGAATATCTGAGGCCAGTTGGGTTGAAGGGTCACAATGGGCCTAGAGACTGGAATAAATGATAATCAGACAGAAGGTAGAAGCTACATTAAACAAAAATGAGAATCATTTTAACTTTCGTGGACTAAATTTAACCCTTTGATGTGTAACATGTGAATCATATCTTTATTAATTTAATTATAGTTTAATTTCACCTGTTATTTAGATATAATTAATAGCATTGTGGTTCTGCCTTAAACTTTTCAATAATTTTACTTTTGAATCTGTTCGGCTTGTCTGTAGAGCTGACAAATTATTTGATATTTGACTGAGTTATTATTACTATCATAATATATTTTTTTAAATTTTCCTGTTTTAGTAAAACAAGAAATAAAATCTGAATTGCAGGAAAAAAAACTTGTTTGTAAAGCAAAATTAAATGGAAACAAGTGTAACCCAGCAGGCTGTAACTTTTAGTAAACAGCTTTTAATATAAAACATCAAAAAACAAACTTGGATTTTAATGAAAACTGCTTAAAATTGGATTTAATGAACTTCATAATCTTTTGTTATTTCATTTCCCACAGATTACATTAAACAGCTATTGTGTCTGTCAGGTTATCATGTCTGTCCAGTTAAAGAGGACTGGAGCCTCTGATATGATGTAGCTGCTCTATCACTGAGTCACATGGTGCCCCGAGAAAAACAAAGGACTGACACAGGAACAAAGAAAGATTATTTTATCCCCAAAATATTCTGCATCAAGATTAAAAAAATATATATTTTTACAAAACAAAAACTGACATTAAAATAGAGAACAAAATCCTCATAAGAGCCTTTATAATCAGACAAACAGCATCAAGACAAAAGTAAAAGAAATCCAAAGTATTTTAGTCAATCAGGTCAAATAAAGGTCTAAAGGTTTTTTTCCAGTAATATAATAACCTCCAACCCTCCTGAATTTTTCCAGAAGATAAACAGGATCCAATGTTCTGCTTTGGAGCTTTAGTCTTATAAATATTGTTTACTGATGTTCTTCATTGCTTATAGCAACAGTTAAACACATTAAATATTTAAACAGAGTCAGATTTTATGATTCCACTGTAAAGACCTAAACTCACCAGTTTTATAAATGGTGACCTTACTGCTGTTTTTAGTGTAGAAAACTGGATCTCCTCTTCCTCCTCTGCAGCTGTATAGACCTCCCTCTGAGATGCTGATGACTCCATCTGGTTCATTGTTTCTGATGAGCTGAGCTCCAGAAGACTCTGACTTCTGTCTGAACCAGTCAAACTTCCAGCCAGTAGAGCTGGACACAGAGCAGGTCAGTGTTACACTGCCCTCTAGTGGTATTATTTTATTAACTGCTGGCAGTGAGGCTGTGGGTTTATCTGCTGATGGAAACAAACAGAAAACAGACCATCATTAGAATGATTTTTGTTTTTGGAAAAAAAATTACTAAAATAAATTAGACTTTAATCCCTGAATGAGTCATTTAGCTTCAGTCACAAAGCTTAGAAATATTGTTAACACAGATATACAGTAAATACAGATTTCATCTGGTTTATAATTTATCAAAAGGAGGACAAGCGTAGACACACGAACAAACTCTTCATATATTTATTTCATTTTTTTCTACCTCTAAATGAATATTTACACTACTGTTTGGTGTTTTCACATATTGGCACAATAAAAACAAAGTCTCCTTCTGTTT